CCCGGCCACGCCACGGCCACACGTCGGCGGACGAGCTGCCGCGGCTCCGGCATGCCGCGGGGGCGGAGTCGGGCGCCCGCCCATGCCGCGGTGCCACGCAGTCCAAGCAAAGCCTTCCACCCGAAGCAAGCAACACAGCCGCGAGAGCGCGAGCCAGAGCACGGCGGGGGAGGCGACCTGGCGGAGGGGGCAAGCGCGAGCCAGAGCGAGGCGGGGGAGGCGACCTGGCGGAGCAGAGGAGGGCGCGAGCGCGAGCCGGCGGGGGAGGCTGCGGGGGCGGAGGCGAGCGCGCGGGCGGAGCAGGCGAGCTCGGCGGGGCGGGACGGAGAAGGCGGGGCTCGGCGAGGGAAAGATTCCCACATGCACGGGTGGGCCTAGCCGGAAAAAAGGAGAGAGAGTGAGGAGAGAGGCCGACATGTGAAGGTTTTGCATGCAAAAAGGAGCGCCGGCGCCCCCAAGTGCCTCCCGGCTTTTTGGGTTTGGATCGGGACCGCCAGGCGTAACTTCGACCAAATCCGGCCCTATTTGAGCTCTTGAGGTCCTGGCTGAAAGAAAAATTAAGCGTCGACGTTCAAAGAATGCTCGTTGGGGGCATCCTGGGGACCGGCTGGAGATGCCCTGAGCGACATGGACGGACGCTTGCGAATGGGTCGGCCCCGGCTGGGCGCTTGCACACCTGTACTCTGGATCTCGTTCTCCGGCTGATCCGGCCGAGCATTCCGATGTCTTTCCATTTCGATCGAGGGAGATAGCATTTTGCATTCCGATGTATGCACATCCAGGCCGCGGCTTCGGTACAGCTCACGTCGCTCATGCGCCAGCGCGACATGCACCTGGCCCAGCAAGCGCAAGCAGATGTAGCGAGAGAATCACACGCCTATTTTCTTCGTTTTTCTGTTTTTCTCAGCTTAATTTTGATTTGAAAACTTAGGGAATAAAAAAAAAGATGTTGCTAATTTTAAATTTGCGAAATAAAAATTTCACGAATTAAAAAAATGCAAATGGTTTTTAAAAATTGATCATGAATTAAAACAAACATGAATTCGTGTTCAGAATTTCAAAGAACTCCGTGAATTTCATAAAAAATATTCATAAAATTAAAATAAATCCATGAATTTCAAAATTTCTTACCGAATTCAATTTTTTAATAAATATTCATGAATTTCAAAATTGATCACAAATTCAAAATTGATGAAAAATTCAAATAAAATGTATGAAATAAAAAATGTTCTGAAATTTATAAAAATATTTATTAATTTAGAATTTTCGTGTGTTTGATTTTTTTATGGATTTGGAAAATGTTTTTGAGTTTGAGAAAACAATTTAATAAAACTTCACAAACTACTTAAAACTTCAGAGACCTTCTCAAAAAAAAATATATGAAAAAGAAATCCCAAAATAATCAATGCAGAAGATAGAAGAAATAAAACTTCAGAGACCTTCTCAAACCGGGCAGAAGGTTCAACAAACTACTTAAAACCGGCGCCCATTGATCTTCTAATCGGAACCCTATTTGGCGCTTAAGACGCCAAATACCGAGCAAAATGTACGGGTATCACCCTCCCGCTCGTCCACTAGTCTTGGGTGGGTCGCCGACCCATTCTCTCCCCTCCACTGTTTTCGGGAACCTTCTATAAGGATCCCACCGTTTTTATTAGGCTTGGTTTTTCATTTTTTTAATGTTTTTTTGTTACTTTTGGTTTTTGTTGTCGGGTGCCCGGGGTCATGGACCTCTGGGTGCCCAGAGGCATCGGGAAGCCAATACCTGCCTCTATGTGGTCCAGTGCCAGGGATCCCTAGACTCCCTGGTTTCCGGAGTAGGGCTTGGGCGCTTGGGACTCTGGTGGTTTCCGGGTGCCTGGGGTACTGGACCCCCCGGTTCCTGGTGCTCTCTGCTACCTACCCATGTATACTCCAGGTGCCCGAGATCCTTGACCTCTGGCTGCTCGGGCCTCCCTGATTGCTATTGACTGGTCTGAGTGGCCGAACCCTTTTGGTCCGGGTGCCCGAGGTTACCAGCTGGGCAATGACTACCTTAGCCTTGGGGTTATAAATACCCCCTCTTCTTCCACCTTCAACCTCAATCTTGTGCAAGCTTTCGTCCCCCATGTTCAAACATTGAAAGTTGAGATCTCCGTCCCCATCCACCAAAAACACTCCGATTTAATGGGATTGGAGGATATTCACCCTATCTACATTTCTACCAAACTAATTTGTGTTTTCTGAGCTTGTTCATCTTCACTAACTTGTTACTTTTGGAGCTTGGGCTCCTAGACGGTTAGAGGTTCTCCATAAACTTCCTTGCTTGTGATATGCTCCGGAGACGTATGTAAAAGTGCGATGGTCGCCTTCAACACCAACCCTGAGTGATTGGAGGCTCATCCGTTGGGGATGACTCGAGGAGAATACGGCGAGCTTTGTGTGGCACTTCAGAAGTTCTTGTTCTGGCACCGCTCCAACGGAGATTAGCACTTCCTCAAGGAAGTGTGAACTTTGAGATAAATCTGCGTCATCGACACACTTGTTGTTAATTATTTCCCACACTTTTACTTTTGTTGTGTATGCTTACTAGCTTGTTAACTAGATTGTTGCCTAGCATACCTTGCCTTAAACTTGCTTATCATATAGGTTGTGTTCGCCTAGTTGCATTTACAGGAACCTGCTTTATCCGCATATATTGTTAAAAATGGTAATTAAGCTTAAAATTTGTAGTCTCCTATTCACCCCCTCTAGTCGACCGTATCGATCATTTCTATGTTTGAGATTTTTTTAATAAATGATTAACATTTCTTGGATATATGTGTTGATGTCTACTTTTTTCATACATATTGTACATTTCGTAGACATAAAAAATGTTTTTCTTTATACTGATATATAAATACGAAATATTGTTCTTATACTTATACATGTTTAACATTTTTTTAGTACATGGTTGGCATGTTTTTCAAACATATGTTTTGATGTCAACTTTTTTTCATACATACTATAATTCTGATACATCAGAAACATTTTTTATACACGTTCAACATTTTTAAAATGCATGGTTATCCCTTTTTTAATATTTATTTTGATGTCTACTTTTCCATAAATCATGTATATTTTTTGTATGCATAATAAACATTTCTTTATACATGTTTAACATTTTTCATATATATGTTTTGATGTCTACCTTTTTCATACACGTTGTGTTTTTCTTATACATTAGAAACATTTTACATACGTGTTTAATATTTTTCAAATGTATGGTTAACATTTGTTCAAAATTCTAAACTGATTTTTATAATATATGTTTGGAATATCTCGTAGTATAAACATAAACAAATATAAAAAATAAAAGCAAAGAAATAAAAACATGAAAAAACAAGAGCTTATAACTGGCTCAAGGCATGTGGGACCTCCTGCGCGCTCGGTCGACCTTGTTGCAGTCGCTTCAGGCTATTCCCCTCAACAAAAGAGAAGATCGCGCCTTATCGTTGCACGTCCGGAAAAGTAGGATATGATCGCACGAGGCGATCAGGAGGCGACGAGGCCCTTGCGCGCCGCCAGTGACGCCTTCGGTTCCCTCTCTCTTCGTCGGCCGCTCCGGTGGCGGGAGGGAGGGGGAACCTCGGGTCTGTTCGCTAGGTGTGTGTGTGGTAGGGTTAGGGTTGAGGGAGACGCTGCCGAGGCCGTTGCGGTGGTGTCGCGTCGAAATAAGTTTCTCCGGGCTCCGTTCGCGGTCAGGCGAGGCTTTTGCCTTCGTCTAGGAGCCAGCGGGGTTGGGGATCCCCGGTTCTCGTCGAGGTCGCGGGCTATGGTGGTTGGAGGTCCATCGGCACTGGTTGTTTGGGTTCTCAGATGGGCGATGGATGCAGGGAGACGAAGACCCTTCTTCTTCTTTGTAGGTATGATTTGTTGTTGCTGTTCTTCTCCTTCCTCTGCGCTGATACTGGTGGGAGATCCTACTTTGTTCGGGAGGAGGGCCCGGCCGCGGTGCTGGACCGGTCGGATGACTCGAGTTCTCTTCCTTCCGGAAGGGACACTTTTCGCGGTACTCAAAGCCAAAGATGGCGACGGCTGTTGCAGGTGTGTTGGATTGTTGTCCATGCCCTCTCAACGCTGGTGTCAAGAAAGGAGAAAGCAGCGTGGCGGCAATTGTACCGTGGTCGAAGATGATGATCTGCTTGCGACTGGTTGCAAATCCTTCTGCTGCAGGGGTCTTCTCTCAAGATTTAGGGATGATAACCTAGGGCTCCGGAGATATTCTTGTGTTATGGTTGTTTTAGGATACTCTAGGTGTTCATGGTCTTTTGTGTTTGCGTTTCAGTGTGCTTGTAAGGGTCAACTTCGTTGTACTGATTCGTGATATGAATGAAAAAAATTCTAAAAAAAAAAAGAAGATCCTAAAAAAAACCTCAATAGAAAAATGGAAAAAAAAAGATTGCGGTACCGGCTTCGTCTTCCGGTCCGGAATGCTCCGTCCAAATCGACGCCTCTGCTCCTCTGCTATCGATCCCTCCGCCCCCAAATCTTGTACTACATCGAGCCGTGCGGCGGCGACAGAGAGCATCGACCTCTCCCTCCTTCAACGCTACTTCACGAGCATCGCAGCAGCGGCGGCCGCCGATCCCACTCTCAGCATGAGGTACCGCTCCTTCGAATCGCCATGACGTTCTTCCCATCTGCCCTCCGGCGCTCTACTCCGTTTATCTGAACCAGACAGCCTCGAAGAGTACCCATAGCCTATGGCGGCCACTGGGCGTCCATAGCCGATATCGGCCATCCATGACGCGCCTACACACTACACAGTACACATAGAACTAGTACTTCATTAGATTACTATGATCATCAGCCCCGTCGTAATTAGGTAGATAATCGATGTGAATACAAGAGAAGTTCTGCAGGCCAGTAAACACGATCAAAGCATAACCAAACCAATGTAACTGTGCGTGTCCATCTAAGAAAAATGTGCATCTGTGTTACCAAAAAGTAGTACAGTAGAAAGACAGAAGAACACAGTGTTATAAATACAGTCGTAGAGAAATTTCATCTTGTTCTTCTTCGATTCGGATGGCTTCTTCATTTATGGGCAGTCCCATTCGCAGCTCCAAGCATACATCAGCTGCCACTGCTGCGTCCACATCCCTCGTCACCTCCTCTACAACATTTGTGTCGTCTGTCATCACTGAATTCTCCACTGCATCCGTCAATACTGCCTCTGCCTCCTCCGCTACGACATCCGCCTTGTCTGTCACCACTGAATTCTTCGATGCGTCCGTCAATACTGCCTCCGACTTCTCCTCTCCCTCTACAACATCAGCTTTGCCTGTCGCCACTGAGTTCTCCACTGCATCCGTCGATACTGCCTCTGGCTCATCCTCCTCCTCCATGCCGTCCGACCAGTCCTCCAATTCACCCTCCACATCTCCCTCGTCCTTGCTGCCTGGCCTGCTAGTAGCATGTTCTCTGCAGAATAAACAATGCACGCACACCTTGGTTAGCAACTGTTAAAGTTCAGATTAGAAATGGGCTTCTATTCGTGCCAAGGAATTCTGCACGACTACACATACGATAAAAAGCATGAATCAACACAAGGAATGTATTGCCACAGGACTGGAATAGTTAGGAACAGTAACGACTGAAAGAAGTAAAACGTAAGAGCAATATGGTACATACTCATAGTCTGGTCGGATGTGAGCCATTTTTTTCTTGTTCTCCCTCCTTTCACACCAGCTCTTCAATTTTGGACAATCCAAAATACGCAGATCCTTCAGGTTGGTTAGTTTATTTATGCTGCCCGGCAAAGAGTCCATGGCAGGGCATCTGTGGATGGCAAGCTTCTCAAGATTGGTGAGATCTCCTAACAATTCCGGCAGTGATGTGATACTGTCGCAGTCACTAAGATGCATCGACCCAAGGGAGGTGAGTCTTTGCAAACTCTGCATGAACTCATCGATCCCTTCGCAGGACACAATCTTCACTTCCCGGAGACAGGTGAGGTCAGACAAGTGTTGTACTTTGTCCACCCGGCAATTGGACAAGCATAGAGATTGGAGGGAGGATAGGGCCTCAATAGTATCTGGTATAGTCCACAGATTGTCGCAATCTTTGACAGTTAAACTACGGAGGCCTGGGAGGCTGTGAAGCAAATGCCAGTTATATAGAGTTTTCTTGCAGTTCTTCACCACTAGTTCATTTACTGAAACAGAGGTACGAGGGTGCCCTCCTCTGGAATGAACCATTAGTTTGCTGCACTCCGAGATCACCAATTTCCGAGCTCTAGGCGTGAAAGGTACGAAGCACACCTTGTTACATTTCGTAATCACCAGTTCACCAATGGCCGGGAGCATACACTCCTTTCCATTTCTGTCGTATGTTGTCTTGAACTCTTCCAGGCTTTCCATATCATCCAACTCTAGTGTGAACCTGGGGAGTCGATGGAGCGCTTCTCGGTTTCCATCAGTTAGGTCATTGACATCGAATCTTGTGATGCTAGCCATCCTTCTAAAAACTGCCCGCCGCAGGCTTAGTAACAAAAACAGTGGTGGTGGGCGGCTGCACCTCGAGATGGCCTCAATAGTAACCTCTACAAGAGTATCAAAATAATAAGTTATGGTTGATGTCAACCAGGTTGAAAGGCAGGTCTCGCCATTGTAACCATGTAGCTCAAGGCCCTGCAGAAGTGGCACTAATTCTCCTAACAGAGCATTGACGTCCATGGATCCTTGGGAGCCCGCAGTCCAACAAAGTTTCCACTTCTGAGCAACTCCTATCAGTGCCATACGTATTTGCCTTGCATCTTCAGTAGATTTCACGTTTTCAAGACAGCTTATCTCAAGCTCTTCCAAGTTTGCATTCTCGAGCTCAACAATGTTTGTGTTACTATATGCTTCTCCGTTATCAGGTTTAACCACAAGCTCACAACTTTTCAAACTGCGGCAGTTCCTCACATTTATCGACTGGAGAGACCTGATTTCACCTATCCTTTTGGCTATGCTCTTCAGTCTAATGCAGCCTGAGAGGTCCAGTGTTTGCAGATTGTTGAGTTCACCTAAACTTTCAGGTAGATCATGTAGAAATCTATTATGAGACAAATCCAAATGTTCCAGACTGGAAAAGCCACTGATACATTCAATAATTCCATGAGTTCGCTCTACTGACTCTGAGTAAAAGATAGGATTCAGGAACATGGATAGGTTCAAATACTCTATTTTGGTGAGCTGGCCCAGAACATCTTTTAGTCCTTCGAGACAGGACTGCTGTTGAGCAAGATAACAGCAAGGGTGTGACAAGTTCAAGTGCTGGAGATTGGTAAGGCCACCAAGAGCTTCAAAACAAGACCAGAATGATAAATCTAGGTGTACCAAATTTTTCAGCTTGCCAAATGATTCCGGCAGTTTACCTAGTCCATGGCAACATGATAAATCAATGTGCAACAAATTTATTAGATTTCCGAATGACTCAGGCAGATTTAATAGCCCACAGCAGCCTGAAAAATTGATATGCACCAAATTTGTGAGATTCCCAAATGATTCTGGTAAGTTTACCAATCCAGAGCAGTCTGATAGGTTGATACGCAGCAAATACATTAGCTTCCCAAAAGACGGAGATAGACTAACTATTACAGAGCACTGTGATAAGTTGATGTGCACCAAATTTATTAGCTTCCCGAATGATTGCGGCAGTTTTTCTAATCCAAAGCAGCCTGATAAATCGATATGCTTCAAACTAGTCAGCTTCCTAAATGAATCTGGCAAATTTACAAGTCCAGAGCATCTTGATAAGTCAATATGCAACAAATTTCTGAGCTTCCCAAATGATTCCGATAGATTTACTAGTTGAGAGCAACCCGATAAGTCAATATGCGCCAAATTTATTAGCTTCCCAAATGATTCAGGTAGATTTCTTAGTCCGCAGCAGCCTGATAAATCAATATACAACAGATTTAGTAGATCTCCAAGTGAATCCGGTAGATTGAGTAGTCCAGAGCAGCCTGATAAATTAAGATATCCCAAATGCCTCAACTGACAGATAGAATTTGGTAAGTTCAGCATCGAGGTGCCATTTAAATCCAAGACACTCAAGCACTTGGAAAATGAAAATGAATCATCGCTGAGGTCCATTTTGCCAGAGCCAACACAACGTAGAGCCCTTATTTGGGCAGACAATTTACTGGATAACTTCAAATCGGTAAGCAGTACATAGCGGCAGTCCTTATTAGAGCATAATTCCTGCTGATAAGACGTCTCCTCTGTATCATATATGTCACGCATAACTTGTTTTGCAAGGTCATGCACCATATGGTTTACAGTGAACCAGGTTGTACTCTTATCAGCACTTCCAGTAGTCTGCAACAAAAGTATAAGCGTGTTAAATATATGTTGCCCTGCCAAATCCAGAGGTAAAATTTTAGGCATGCCAATTTTTTGGAAATAAATAAATAGTGATGGGCTGGCATCCAATAAGACCTAACCAGTAATTCTGCCAAGCCAAAATTTGGGCATTCAAAATTCAGGAGTAAAACGATTGAGTGCCAATTTGTTTTGGCATGGCAAATATTAGAAGCAAACAAATCAAGCCCAAAGGCTTTTAAACATAGTATGGAGTAACTCACCGAAACCGGCATTGTTGTTTGAAGAAGGGACATGCCCAGAAGCATTGAAATATACTGCTCACCAAGGTGTATCGCAGAGAATCTGTCGGATTGCTCAATAAGACCGAGAGAAGTCCATTGATAAATCAGATCATCTTTGGCTATAGTGTGACCATTTTGGAACATCGCAAAGTAAGTAAAGCATAGCCGTAAGCTCGGCGGCATACTAGTGTATGCTAACATGAGGAATGGCTCACCGTTTTGGCCATCTTCCCATATATCACTGTTCAATACTTCTGCCCATCCTGTAGCATCTTTGTAGAGAAGCACGCCACCAAGCATTTCAGCTACCAACTGTGAACCCTCACACTTTTTTGCAATATCTACACCAATCAGCTCCAACTCTTGTTTGTCAAACAATCTACCTTCAAAGTGACTTCGTTGCTTGATTATTGTCCAGCACATGTCCTCACTCGATTCACTACAACTCCGAAAATACATTTCTCCAGTGTCCGTCGCTATCAAGATTACCTCACCACGATCGCTCCCTTCCCTTAACATACCCTGCAACTCTTCGCAATCATGCCGTGATAGCCATATGCCATCTAAAACAACAAGTACCTTAATACCATCATCAAGTAATTGGTGAAGGCGCTTGCTCACATACTCCATGTTGTCATCGGAACCACCGTTGATCTCTTCCCCTGACACCTGAGAAATTATGGACTTCCCTATCTGATGCAAGTGAAGATTTCTGGAGCATTGGATCCATACCCTAGAGTAGTCTTTGAGTCGGGTATGGTTGAAAACCATTTGTGCTAATCTTGTCTTGCTGCCATCCTGGCACCCACCAATTTGAACTGTAATGTGGTGCCCTTTTTTCACAGATATACTTTCCATTATGATCTGTATTTGTTTATCCCTTCCAATCGTTGGGTCCTCTGTTACATAAATAAGTGGTGGCTCGATCGTTGCATCGGAATTAGGTGACATAAGATTAAATTCATCCATGTCGACCCATAGCTTGTAGACTTCTTCTTTTATCTTCTCCATCTTATCGGCCATGAGATTCTTCTTCTTGAGGACTTTGGCATGCGGCATCATCTTCATGAACTGCAAAGAATCAGTTCTTAATCATTTAGCAGGTACATACACCATTTGGCTAGCTTGCTACCCGTTTCGTTAAGACAAGACCTTGAGCAACAATTACTCTTTTAATATTTGATTTATGTGATACAAAATCACTATCATAACAAAGTACTTTTAAATACGAATCTAGTGACACAAATTTCATGTAAAAAAAACTTATATTTATAGAGTAATTATTGGTCAAATTCAAGTCTTAACGAAACAAAATACGCCTTACTTTTAGGAATGGAGGGTCTGCAAAGAGCCAAGGAGTGCTCGGACGGTATACAGAAAATGAATAGACTTGGGTACATACCTTTCGCGCGGGTGCAGGTGGTGTCATTGTGTCTTGCAACTCGTCCAAGATGTTGTAGGCGGCCTTCACGACCAGCCGCAGCCAGTCCCGCACCTTCTTCTCCTGCAGGTCAAGTTCGCGTATTCAGTGACCTATGGATCTCGTAGCCTAACTATGACAGGATCTGAGCTTTTCTTCAAAATGTTTAAGGATGGTGAAGTAACATACCTCCATTTGCTGGGGGGTATCCTCCAGCAGCGGCTGTATGGCTTCCGGCGTAGTTTCCATTTCTTCCGATTTCTCTTTGGGGACATCACGCCTAAAACGAAGACATCGCCTCTCGGCGTCCTCCAGCAGCGGGTTTATGGCCTCCAGCGTCTCCATTATTTCCTGCAAATAGCTGGTGGCCTTGTCTCCGACGGCGAAGGCGGCTCTGAGCTTTCTGCATGAGCTTTGGACAATGGCTTGGGCCATGGCTGCTTCTTGCTCCTCTACACAAAATCAAAGCTTCTATTGGAGCCAACTATGGGATGGGGATGATGCAGCGCAGGGGGCAGAGGATCGTTTGCCCACCTCCCGGATGGCGGAGCGAAGCTAGGGGGAAAGGAACCAGCTGGAGCTGTACAGGCCACTGGCAACAATAATTGAGGCTATGTGCAATGAATAAAGTTCAGAGTCGAGAGTGAACACTGTTGCCTCAACAGTACTTCTCTGAGCAACAATAATTTCCTCGTTTCACGGTTGGTGGAGGAGGCATCCTGTGCTTGCTATGACCGGTGCACCGATGTACCCATGGCACATGAGCTGTTTCGTACGTGTTTGGTGTTTGGTGCACTTCCAGTTATAATCAGGGGGATGCATCATGAAATTCAAATTCTTCCAGGTGACCGTTAACGGACTTGGAATACCAAAGAAACAGGTGCTGCTACTGGAAACTTATCTTAGTTTTCTCCAGCGAAAGATAGCCATGCATGCCGCCCCGCGTCGGCGCCTACCAGCGGAGGGGGAAGAGAGGCCCCGCCGCCGCCATGCCCACCGGGCTTTGCCCGACGGAGCTTGCCGGCGGCGGCGGGGGGAGAGGGGAGGGAGGCGGGGCGAGGGCCGTGGCAGGAGGGGATCCTCCCCGGCGCGCGCGGGCGCGCCGCGGGAGGAAGGAGGAGGAGGAGGGGGGAGGGGGTGTTGGCATCTCCCTGCTCCAGTACGCCGACGACACCATTATCATGGTCGAAGGCTCGGATTCGGACATTGCTAGCCTTAAATTCCTCCTCCTCTGCTTCCAACAAATGTCGGGCCTTAAGATCAACTTCGACAAGAGTGATGTGATGGTGATGGGCTATTCTCCGGCTGAGACCCTCGACATCGCCAACCGCCTCAATTGCCGTCTGGGCTCCTTCCCAACGACCTACCTGGGAACGCCCATTAGTGACTCTAGGCTTACTGTGGCGGACCTTCGTCCTGCAGTGACCAAGTTGCAAACGCGCATTGAGCCTTGGCAAGGTCGGTGGCTCTCGAAGGCGGCCCGGACGATTCTCATCAACTCCTCGCTCTCTAGTCTCCTCCTATTGCTTATGAGCCTCTACAGCCTCCACGAGACTCTCTCCATCACGAGATCGCAAAAATCCAGTCGCGCTTCTACTGGGCTGGGGACAATAACAGACAGAAGTATCATATGGTTAGTTGGCCCGATATCTGCAAGCCCCGGGAGCAGGGAGGCCTTGGCATCATGTGCTCGAAGCGCATGAAGATTGCCCTCCTATCCCGCTGGCTCTGGCGTATATCCCAGGGGCACGGAGGTCTATGGTTGGACATCATCCGGCATAAATACTTGCGCGGCCAGCCTCTGGCCTTTTGCCAGCGTTCGGGTGGATCCCAGTTCTGACAATCGGTCATCCAACTGCTCCCCGTCCTCCGCATTGGGACTTCCATCTCGGTCGGCTCGGGCTCAGCGACCTTGTTCTGATTTGACCGATGGGCGGGTGACGCTCCTATCGCTGCCCGCTTCCCGGACCTCTTCTCCATCGCCGTCGTCCCTACAATCTCAGTTCAACAGGCCCTTATTGACTTAGGGCGCCTCGCGTTCCGGAGGCCATTTGGGCCTCCGGAAGTGGCCGCATGGCATGAACTTCTTCATTGTATTGCTCTTCATGAACCGTCAGTGGACACGGACCCGGATGAGGTTCGATGGCGCCTCGAGCCCTCGGGACAATTCTCCACCAAATCCCTTTACGCGGCTATCGCCCCTTCCTCCGCACCGCTGCCCCTCCAGGCGGTCTGGTCCATTCGCCTGCCCCTCAAAATCCGCATCTCCATGTGGCAATGGATCTGTGGCCGGCTGCCATCGAGAGTTGAGGTTCGCAAGCGCAATGGTCCGGGCTCCGGCATATGCCCCCTCTGTGATACCCCCGAAGACTCGAACCACATCTTTTTCTCCTGCGTGTCTGCTCAGTTTGTTTGGAGCTGCTTTCGAGAGGCGGTTGGTGGGATTGGTGCCTGAGGGAGTCCTGGACTAGGGGGTGTCCGGATAGCCGGACTATCATCATCGGCCGGACTCCAAGACTATGAAGATACAAGATTGAAGACTTCGTCCCGTGTCCGGATGGGACTTTCCTTGGCGTGGAAGGCAAACTTGGCGATACGGATATGCAGATCTCCTACCATTATAACCGACTCTGTGTAACCCTAGCCCTCTCCGGTGTCTATATAAACCGGAGGGTTTAGGTCCGTAGGACGAACAACCATTACAACAATCATACCATAGGCTAGCTTCTAGGGTTTAGCCTTCTTGATCTCGTGGTAGATCCACTCTTGTACTACCCATATCATCAATATTAATCAAGCAGGAGTAGGGTTTTACCTCCATCGAGAGGGCCCGAACCTGGGTAAAAACATCGTGTCCCTTGTCTCCTGTTACCATCCGCCTAGACGCACAGTTCGGGATCCCTTACCCGAGATCCGCCGGTTTTGACACCGACATTGGTGCTTTCATTGAGAGTTCCTCTGTGTCGTCATCGATAGGCTCGATGGCTTCTTCAATCAACAACAACGCAGTCCAGGGTGAGACTTTTCTCCCTGGACAGATCTTCGTATTCGGCGGCTTCGCACTGCGGGCCAATTCGCTTGGCCATCTGGAGCAGATCAAAAGTTACGTCCCTGGAAATCAGGTCAGGTTTGGAAGCTTAAACTTCACAGCCGACATCCGCGGAGACTCGATCTTCGATGGACTCGAGCCACAGCCGAGCGAGCCGCACTGTCACGATGGGCATGATTTAGCCCTGCCGCCGGACAGCGCCCTGGAGACCGCACATGAGTCCGCTCCGACCACTAGTTTGGAGCCGACCGTGCAGATCGAGGACAGGTGGTTGGACACCGCCTCGGCGGCCGCAATCTCTACGGCGATGGAGCCGAACACTGACCCTGTCCCTGGCAAAGCTCGTGACTCCGAGGTGCCGGACTCCTTGCCAGACTCCGAACCTCCTGCGCCCCTGCCAACCGAATCCGATTGGGCGCCGATCATGGAGTTCACCGCTGCGGACATCTTTCTGTTGGGGAACGTAGTAATTTCAAAAAAATTCCTACGCACACGCAAGATCATGGTGATGATATAGCAACGAGAGGGGAGAGTGTTCGTCCACGTACCCTCGTAGACCATAAGCGGAAGCGTTAGCACAACGCGGTTGATGTAGTCGTACGTCTTCACGATCCGACCGATCCAAGCACCGAATGTACGGGGCCTCCGAGTTCAGCACACGTTCAGCTCGATGATGATCTCCGGCCCTCCGATCCAGCAAAGGCTCCGAAGATGAGTTCCGTCAGCACGACGGCGTGGTGACGATGATGATGTTCTACCGGCGCAGGGCTTCGCCTAAACTCCGCGACGATATGACCGAGGTGGAATATGGTGGAAGGGGGCACCGCACACGGCTAAGGAACGATCCGTAGATCAACTTGTGTGTCTATGGGGTGCCCCCCACCCCCGTATATAAAGGAGGGAGGGGGGAGGTGCGGCCGGCCCCCTAGGGGTGCGCCTGGAGGAGTCCTACTCCCACCGGGAGTAGGACTCCCCCCTCTTGCCTTGGTGGAGAAGGAAAGGGGGGAGGGGAAAGAGGAAAGGGGGGCGCCGCCCCCCCTTCCTTGTCCTATTCGGACTAGGGGGGGAGGGGGCGCACGGCTTGTCCTGGCCGGCCCTCCTCTTCTCCCTCTTGGCCCACTAAGGCCCAATATCCCCCGGGAGGGTTCCGGTAACCCCTGGTGTTCCGGTAAAATCCTAATTTCACCCGGAACTATTCCGATGTCCAAATATAGGCTTCCAATATATCAATCTTTATGTCTCGACCATTCCGAGACTCCTCGTCATGTCCGTGATCACATCCGGGACTCCGAACAAACTTCGGTACATCAAAACTTATGAACTCATAATATAACTGTCATCGTAACGTTAAGCGTGCGGACCCTACAGGTTCGAGAACTATGTAGACATGACCTAGAACTATTCTCGGTCAATAACCAATAGCGGGACCTGGATGCCCATATTGGCTCCTACATATTCTACGAAGATCTTTATCAGTCAAACTGCATAACAACATACGTTGTTCCCTTTGTCATCGGTATGTTACTTGCCCGAGATTCGATCGTCGGTATCCAATACCTAGTTCAATCTCGTCACCGGCAAGTCTCTTTACTCGTTCTGTAATGCATCATCCCGTAACCAACTCATTGGTCACATTGCTTGCAAGGCTTATAATGATGTGCATTACCGAGAGGGCCCAGAGATACCTCTCCGACAATCGGAGTGACAAAACCTAATCTCGAAATACGTCAACCCAACATGTACCTTTGGAGACACCTGTAGTACTCCTTTATAATCACCCAGTTACGTTGTGACGTTTGGTAGCACCCAAAGTGTTCCTCCGGTAAACGGGAGTTGCATAATCTCATAGTTACGGGAACATGTATAAGTCATGAAGAAAGCAATAGCAACATACTAAATGATCAAGTGCTAGGCTAACGGAATGGGTCATGTTAATCACATCATTCTCCTAATGATGTAATCCCGTTAATCAAATGACAACTCATGTCTATGGCTAGGAAACTTAACCATCTTTGATTCAACGAGCTAGTCAAGTAGAGGCATACTAGTGACACTATGTTTGTCTATGTATTCACACATGTATTATGTTTCCGGTTAATACAATTCTAGCATGAATAATAAACATTTATCATGAAATAAGGAAATAAATAATAACTTTATTATTGCCTCTAGGGCATATTTCCTTCAGTCTCCCACTTGCACTAGAGTCAATAATCTAGTTCACATCGTCATGTGATTTAACACCAATATTCATATCTGTATATGATTAACACCCATAGTTCACATCATCATGTGACCAACACCCAAATGGTTTACTAGAGTCAATAATCTAGTTCACATCGCTATGTGATTAACACCCAAAGAGTACTAAAGTGTGATCATGTTT